CCCCTGGATCCACCTCTCTGCATATATGGTATCATCGTAGTGTGGGAGTGGTAAATCTCAAAATGAGGTGGTGGTGCTCAATTAAGGAAATCTCGAAACAGCCAGAGCCTCGCCAAGTGCTTCTGGTCAACAGAGCTGTTTTTTCACCGCACAGAAGACGCGAAACGAGAGCGTAGAGGGCGGCGAGCAGCTGACCACTGGTCAAAGCAAGTGGAAAAGTTGACAGCTGCACCGCTCGAAAGTCAAACCATATAAAAATCACTGCAAATATCTCAAGCCGATGACCAGTGGTCACTCGGAACGGCTCGCCAAAAAGAGATTTGAACGAAAACACAACCGAAGATACGTCGCCGAGAGGCCAAACCAGCCACCCAGAATTCAAAGCCCATAACAGTGTTCTCCCGTACACACACACACACACACACACACATACACCCAACAAACACACCCCCGCCCCACGCAAAACACCTAAACACCGCGCATCTCAAACACCGCAACTGAAAACACGCACACTTCTATGGTGCCCTCCATGCATTCTGTACTCTCCCGTCGCTGTTGCACAAAAACGGATCGGTTGGAATTAATGTGTGGATTTTACCGCACAAATTTTAAGTTCCGATAGCGATGCGCATAGGCGAGTCCGGGGCGGTCTCCCGTGGGGCAGGGGGGGAGGGGGGGTTTGGGCGATTTTTCACCTCACCTTCTCCTTTAGTCACTACACTCCCCTCCCGACCACCTCACTGCACCCCACTTTGAAGGCTCCTGGGGGAGGGACGAGGGACCGTTCGTCTTTCTCCCCATTCCCCTCCTCTGGGCTCGTAGGGCTGGTCAGTGGTAGAACGGGGGCGTGCGTCATTTCTTCTTTTACAGCCACTTCTCTGTTCCCGTTGGGTATTTGATTAAAAAGTGGACAGCTGTTCCGTCTTCGCTGTGCTGTGAGAGGGGAGGGGGCATGCCCAAGTGCCAACAGCAACCACTCGTTGGCAAGACTGTCGGTGGCTGTCTCGTTCGAAGGTTGCTTAGAAGCAAGCTGATTTGTACCAATTTACTGTCGAGACGAATGAACGAGTAGTATGTCCCAGCAGCGAAAACAAGGCCTGAATAGTCCTGGCGTCTGGTCCTCGAAGAGCGAGTTAAGACGTTTCGGTCCATTAAGCTGTGCATACCTCTTAACATCGCCGCAGGATCTCGTTGGCGTGACGGCTGCAGTGCTTAAATTTTGTGCTTGTCGTGCGCTGAAGAGTTCTTGTTGCTTAGGCTTGTTGCAGATGCCGAGGGTGGAGGAGAGAATTTACCATCCGGCCGATGTGCTGTTCGGTAAGTGCGAGAACGTACCGGCAAGCGTCGAGGCGGTGCAGTTCCACGGGGTGGTGAACACGAAGCACGAGGCGCTGGTGAGGGAGATCGCCCATCTCTACACGGTCTCCTCGCTGCCCGAACTCATCCGGGACTGCTCGCTGGCCGCCAAACATCTGCAGGTTTTTAAACTTTCACTTTCTTACTTACGTGCATTTGGAAGATGCATGTGCGTGTCTGCCTGTGCATATGAGTGTTTTCGTGTATATTTGTATGTCTATATTATACACGTTGCATGTAGGTATGTGTATGTTTGTGTGTAACTATGTGCACACGTTCGTATGTGTGTGTGTGTCTGTCTGTCTTTATGCTATGCTTACTGTATGTTTTTATGTATGTTTGTGTGTGTGTGTTCATGTATGTCTGTATATGTGTGTTGTCTGTGCATTCATAAAAACGTTTGAGAACAGTGCGAGTACTGGTTAATGCAGTAACGAGTTGTGTTGTGCGTTGATTTTATGGAATTGGTTGACCAGCTTACTGCCACTCGAAAAACCCCTCGTAATGACCGGGGAGCGCTCGAAACAACGAGGATGATGATGCTCAGCATAGACCAACGACGTCTCGAAACCTTCTTGAAGCCATTTCCTTGCCGGAGGGGCGAGGGCATTGGCAAACTGGCAATTCTTACAGAGCTTGAAACGAGCGTATTTTTGAATTCGGTGCTGTAATTGCTGCATTTGCAGGAAGTTGGTCTTATGAATAAGGTGACGCCGCTAATCGATTCAGCAGCCGGTAAACCGGGCAAATATGTGGTTGATTTCATCGTCAAAGAACCAAAATCGTTCACTCTGGGACTCAGAGTAAGCAAACAAGTAAACAATTTGTCGGCCAAACTCACCCATCCTCCTTCCTATCCAGGACCAGAGTTTTCAGGAAAAGTTTTAATGCTCCAATTAATTCGGGGGTTTTTTTCTCGAAAACCGCAAAAGTACCGCGGAATTGCCGCGAAAAACAGGCACAGCTACAAAGGTCTCTCAGCTATACTGCATTGCCTCTCAGTTCATAGAGATTTGACATATTACTCATTACGCCACTGGCCATTGTGCTCTACATTTGTCAGAAAATCGGTATGTATAGCTTTAAGCGCGTGCATGCAGTCTAAGTTGGGTACCACAAGCATTCTGCATATTTTGCTGTTTTTTTTTTTGGCCTTTCGCAGGAATCTGCAGTGGAAGAAAGGTGAAACCGAATATCGTTGGTTGTTTGCAGGCTGGTGTAACTAGTCGAGGTGATGCGGATTATTCGCTGTTCGCTGGTAAAGAGAGTTTTGCGGGACGCGGCGAAAATGTGAACGCCTCATACTCTTATACTTTTAAGGCAAGAACCATGCTGCATTGAATTTTAAAAAAATATTTATTTGAGCTGTTTCACACACGCACATTCGTTATTTGAGGCCAGTATTGCCTTATCAGCTACATGCGAGGTTGGAAGTATCAATATTTTAGCTACTTCTGATTGAAAAATGTATGATTTAAACTGATAAATTGTGCTACTTCGGAATAACAGTGATTGGAGGGAGGTTTTTGAGTCTGATGAATAAAACCAGGAAATATGGCACATACGAAATATCAGTTCATTTTATCGTCATAATAATTCACTGAACCAAATAAGGATTGATTTTTCTCTGACAGCAAATTCAAGCGAATGCTGAGGGAAGGAAGTTAGCTTAGCTGAAGTTAAAGTCAAAACCATCTCAGCGTTCGCTAAATAACTGATGATTAAGAAGCGTTCCCTTAATCAGGGTCATGAGTTGGAGAGAATTATTCAAAAATTGACCGAACGCATTAAAAGTACTAGTTGAGCTGAGAAAAACAGTTGGTTTCCAGACGTGCAGAAAATTTTTGTCTACGAAACGCCATTTCAGGGTGATCAGACGTTCAATTTTTCTCTGCTGAAGCCATTTTTGGGTTGGCAAAAATATTCAAATATCGGCCTTTCCATGTATCGAAGTCTGGCCACACTGCCGTGGAATCTTAGTGATACAGAAGAGAATGGTTTGGTAATGCAATACAATGGTCAGCTATGGGATAAAAAGCTCTTCCACAACTTGAAATTAAACACTGTGAGTTGCTGCTCCTCTGGGAAGTGTTTTTCTTTTCGGGGACTGATTTTCAGACATAACTTATTTTGCCATTCTTATCGGAGAATATACTAAAGTGAGAAAAATTATCAAGGAGGCCAAAACCGTTCGAACAATCACTGTGGGTATCCCAGTAGGACTCTCCCATATGTCGGCTGTACTAAATCTAGGCTGTTTGATTCTGGGCTGCATACCTTCATTTAATAGCCATCGCCTCTTCAGCACCGTATATGCGTTATTTTTTTGGGGAATGGGCATCTGAGTGGTCGTTTACTTTCTCGCGGATACCACACGCCAGT